GGAATAGAATATAGTAGAGTAGGATGGGAAAGAGTAGTGGAGAAGAGTAGGGAAGATAGGTGGGGTAGGGTAGGGTCAAGCTACCCACCCGCCCGCAAGCCGTCTAGCTCACTCCCACCCGCCCTCCCAATACATGAGTATCACCCGAGCCTGAGCATGTTCACCGGTCGTCTTTGGATGGACAGCTACTGGGCACCAAAACCACAGGTGCGCGACGCTTGGGCGAGGTGCGCCACGCGTGCCAGGAGGCGCCACGCGTGCCAGGCAACCCTGGGGCCCGAGCGTGCCAGACACGCCTGGTGCGCCAGATGCGCCAAGTGCTCCGAAAGCGCCAGGTGTGCCGCACACTCCAGCCGCGCCAGGTGCGCCACGTTCGGGGCACGTGCAGAGTGCGTCAGGTGCGCCTGCGCACGTGACAGCACACATCGGGAAACATGTCGGCCCCCGCCATCCTTGTCGAAAACCAATGCCCATCATTGTGTTTGGTGGGCCTGCGTACAGCAGGCCACGCCCCACCACCCCCGCCGTCCCTGTCAAAAAGCACTTGACAATGTTTGTGGGATGGCTGCGCATGATTCAGACGAGGTGCACGCTGTATGATTTGCCATCAGGGATGGTAGCCCTGCGCACAGCCGGGAATATGCTAACACCCCCGCCGTCCTTGACAAAAACAATACGAAGTGCTCGCGGGCCTCGCGAACATGGCTCAAGACTTTGCCCCAAAGTGTACTTAGCATTGTTTTGTTGCTAGGGATGGTGGGGGAGGAGGCCGCATCGGGTTGGCCGCGCATGCTCCAAATGCGGAGGCTGAGTGCGGTTTGTTTTGATTTTTGACAGGGGTGGTGGGGGGGCGGGCCCTCATGGAATCGGCATGGTTCCGGGTTGGACAATGGCCGGGTGTGAGAGGGGGTGTATATTCATAAAGACCAATGATAGAGTAGCGTCGAGTGGAGTGGAGTAGAGTAGAGTACAGTAGGGTGGGGTAGAGCAGAGCAGGGCAGCGCAGAGTAAGGCAGGATTGGAAAAAAGAGAGAATCAGAATTGAATGGAATAGAATAGAGTAGAGTAGAGTAGAGTAGAGTAGAGTAGGGTAGAGTAGAGTAGAGTAGAGTAGAGTAGAGTAGAGTAGAGTAGAGTACAATGGAGTGGAGTAGCTTCGAGTAGGGTGGAGAAGAGTAGAGCAGGAGTTGGTGTCGAGTACACTAAAGTCGAGTAGCATGGAATGGAGTAGAGTAGAGTAGAGTCGAATAGAGTAGAGCAGAGCAGAGCAGAGTGGAATAGAGTAGAGTAGAATAGAGTAGAGTAGAATAGAGTGTTGAGTTGAATCCGCCACCGTGCCTCTGGGCACTGAGTGGGCGTGTCCTCAACTCGTTTGCCCATTCCCTAACCCTCAGTCCTCCGTCCAAAAGAGTCTTTAATGGGTCCAGCATCCAGCTGCCGAAACTTGCTTAGCCCTAATTAGCAAGGTGCCGCTCCGCTAGTTGGCCTCGAACCACGCGTCCAGAACTTGCTTGGCTCGATTTAGCGGAGCGCCGTTCCGCTAACTGGTCTCGGTCAAGGGCGCGAGGATTGCCTCGCTGCCATTAGGGGAGCGGTTCTTCGCTAATGGGCCCCAAAATCCGGGAATTTCCATTGCTTCGCTCCAGTTGGCGGAGCGCGCTGCGCTTAAGGGCTGACCCAGAGGCTACCCAGAGGCCAACCACGAGTTCGCAACCAACATTCCTAAGGCATTCGACCCACAACCCAGGCACGGTGGCGGGATGGGCCGAAGGTCATCAGATCCGCCGCCCCCTGCTTGCAGGGGTGCACGGCGTGCTGGATGTTTCAGGTTTTGGTTTTGGTTCTTTTTCCAAAAGAACTCCCCAGTGGGCTCCGGCAGAACCCGCCGGCCACCCGGAAGGCCCCCAAACGTGCTCAACGACCGGAAAAAATCCTCCAAGATGGCTCGAACTGGCCTCCAAAATGCCTCCAAGATGGCCAAGATGGTCTCCAAGACGGCTAAGATGGCCTTTAGATGCCTCCAAAACGGCCCAAGAGAGTCCAAGACGGCCCAAGACGGCCCAAGAGGCCCCCCAGAGGCCTCCCAGACGGCCCAAGAGGCCTCCAAGAGGTCCTCCAGGAGAGTCCGAAGAGGCCAAAATCATTGATTTTCCCTTGGTTTTTGAAGGATTTTGGCATTTGCGCCTTTTCGGCTCTCCGACGGCTCAAGACGGCCCAAGAAGCCCCCAAGATCGCCCAAGAGGCCCCCAAGAGAGCCCCATGATGGCCCAAGTGGCCTCCAAGATGGCCCCTAGAGGGCCCCAAGAGGGCCCAAGAGGCCTCCAACACGCCCAAGATGGCCTCCCAGACGCCCAAGATGGCCTCCAAGACGGCCCTGGAGCATTCCAAGCGGGCCCCAAGTCGGCCCATAGAGGCCCCCCAAACGGCTTCCGACGGCTTCAGACGTGCCAGGAACCCACCAAGATGGCCGAAGTTGGCTCGAAGCTGGCCCGAGACGGCCCCAAAAAGCCCCAAAGATCGCCCAAAGCTTGCCCAAGAGGCTTCCAAGACGGCCAAGATGACCTTCAAGATGCCCACGTGTTCCCCGAAGGCTTTCCAAACCGATTCGGGGAACACGTGGTCCGATAATTTGGCAGGTCTGGCCTCAACGTTCGGCCACATAGGCGCTTCCAAAAAGGCAGGGGGCGGCGGTGATTCGCCGTAGGCGTCTTCGATAGAGTAGGGTAGAGTAGAGTAGAGTAGAGTAGAGCAGAGTAGAGTAGAGTAGAGTAGAGCAGAGTAGAGTAGAGTAGGGTAGAGTAGGGTAGGGTAGAGTAGAGTAGAGTAGAGTAGAGTAGAGTAGAGTAGAATAGCTTAAAGCAGAACAGAGTAGAGCAGAGCAGGGAAGCGTACGAGAAGAGACTGAGAGGAGTTGTGAAGCTGCAAAGAAGAATAGTACATAATATGATAGGGTACGGTTGGTTAGAGCAGGGTGGAATACGGTACGGCCAGATAAGAGTAGAATAGAGTAGAGTAGAGAAGAGTAAGGTAGAGTAGAGTAGAGCGGCGCAGCGTGGAGTATAGTATAGTAGAATAGAATACAGAAGGAGTATAGCACATCTGAAGGAGAATGTAATAGAGTATGTCAGGGTACGGTAGGGAAGAGTAGAGTACAGAAGAAGTAAAGTAGAGCAAGCACCGTCTAACAGAGAAGAGTAGATGGGTAGAGCAATGCAGAATAGTAGTATACTTCAACAGAACTAAGTATAGTAGGAGTGGAGTAGAGTAGGTGCAAAGTATAATAGAGTGGAGCATGTCAGATTAATGTAGAGTCAGGTAGGGTTGGTTATAATGGGCCAGAGTAGAGAAGAGCAGAGTAAGAGCAGAGCAGAGTAGAGTAGAGTAGAGTAGAGTAGAGTAGAACCAATGAGAGTATAATAGAGTAGAGGAGTAAGAGCAGAGTAGAGTACAAGCAAACTGAAGTCGAGTCGAGAATGTTAGAGTACAGTAGAAAATAGTGGGTAGCGTAGAGTAGGGCTGGGAAAAGTAGAGTAGAGGAACGTAGCAGAGTAGGGTAGAGTGGGGTAGAGTACAGTAGGGCCCAATAGGACACTGAGAGAGCTGGATCGAGCCCTAGTGGATTTCCGCCGCCGCCGCTGAAGGCGTGTTGGTCGTCGTCGTCGTCGTCGTCGCCGTCGTCGTCGTCGTCGTCGTCGTCGTCGCCGGCGGGGGTGGCGGGGGGAGGGAGGTTCTGGACTCCCAAAAAAAAATGTCCCGCGGGGGGGCGGGTTCTGGACCCCCCCACTAATTTTCCCAGGGGGGGGGGTCTGGCTCCCCCAACTAATGTTCCCTGGAGGGGGGGGGTCCAGACACCCCCGCTAATTTTCCCAGAAAGGGGGCGTTCTTGGCGGAGGGGGTGGGATTGGGGGGGTTGGGGCTCCCTGGTTTCTGACCCCTCTTTCTGGTTTTTCATTTTGAGAGGGGGGGGTCCCCTGGTTTCTGCCCCCCCCTTTGAAAGAATTGTCAGGCCAACGACGGTGGATTGCGCACCCTCGCAGCCCTCGACCCCATTCACTCGACAGATCCGTGAGGGCACTGGGGGCCGAAACGGGGCCAGAACGCCGTCGTACGTGCATAGCTGCTGGTTCAGAGCACCCAGATCTCTCGAGGGCGAGGAGAAAGCATGTTGTAGAAACGATGAGATAAAATGATACCGCTAACCGGACCCCTCCTGGGGTGCCCCTTCACCAGGATTCCGATGCAAATCGGGCTCTGGCGACGAGGGCCCCCCAGGAGGCTTCAAAAAGGCCAGACCGAGGGAAGAGCATCGGCGTCGGTAGGCTTGCCCACACCTCTCCAAACCCTCTCGGAATCCGTCCCTGGACCACTCCCAGAGTGTACCCTGGCCGGTCGCGGGGTTTCTCCCTGGCCCTCGAGCTGCGTCCAGACGCAGCCACGAGAATCTAAAGACGCGCTCGAAAACCCCTGAAGCGTCCGTCGTCGTCTCGGGCCCAAAAACTGCGATCACGAGGGGAGTGCATTGGTATGCGTACGTACGTGCTTCTCCTCTGGACAGATGCGCAGTAGCAGCGTCAGCTGCAGACTGCGTGGCTGGGTCCCCGAGCCTCTCTGACCGCGGCGACGTGCGTCGAGCTGTTGTTGCCGACCGCGTCCACGGCGGCCTCCCCGATATCGCGGGCGTTCCGCTGCGCTGACGGGCACATGGGGAGGAGAACGGGGTTGGAGGGAGGACGAGAACGAGGGAGGCAGGAGGGAGAGGGAGGGAGGGAGCAGGAGCGAGCGAGCCAGCCAGCCAGCCAGCGAGCGCGAGCGCCGATGCCGTGCCGCGCGTGCGCGGGGAACGCCTTCTAGGCAGGTCGGCGGCGGGGCTGGAGCACTTCGTAGGCGACCGTTCCGCCTTCTCCGTGGTCCGTGCGGACGTCGACCAGCACGTTGGCATAGCTCCAGGTCCCAGAAGTGATCCTTGTAGGCCCACAGCTTGCGCGAGGAGCAAGAGGGAGGCATCTACAGGCAGGATGTAGGAGGTACGAAGAGGGAAGGGAAAGGGAGGAGGTGAGGGGGATGAGGATTCCTGTCTTCCCAGAAGCGCCAGCGCGGCCAGATCCGCAGAAACAGCACCCTCCCCACGAGGAGTCGCCAGAGGAAGGAGCGAGGAGGGCGGCAGAATCGGGATTTCTCGAAGGTCCGCGCGGAGTTCCTGGACGGGCGCTGGACCCCCCCCCCCCGCTGGCGCGCGGAGCGCGCCGAGGGCGGCGCCGGGGAAGCGCCCGCGCCGATCCAGGAGGTCCGTGCGGAGCTCCGGGAGTTTCTGCCTCTGCTGGCCTTGGCTCCCCGAGGCCGCTGCTATCGCGCCGCACTCGGCCACCTCCTCCTGCTCCTCCTCCTCCTCCTCCTCCCCCACCTCCTCCTCCTCCTCCTCCCCCACCTCCTCCTCCTCCTCCTCCTCCTCCTCCTCCTGCTCCCTCCTCTCCTCCTCCTCCTCCTCCCCCACCTCCTCCTCCTCCTCTCCTCCTCCTCCTCCTGCTCCTCCTCCTGCTCCTCCTCCTCCTCCTCCTCCCCCTCCTCCTCCTCCTCCTCCTCCTCCTCCTCCCCCTCCTCCAACCCAGCCCGAAGACCCGAATCTTGCCCGAGTTTCGGGTTTGGGGGGGTGCGGGTTCCATGCGTTTTGTCGGCGTTCCCGGACCCCTCCCCCCACACTGGAGATGGAGGGCAGATGGGGGCCGTCGGGTTGGGTTGGGGTGGTTTGGTGGGCGGTGAAGCGAGGAGCGCGCGGCGAGGAGGACGAATCCATGGCCCCCTTGTTGCGCGGGGCGGTGCGCCTGGCCCGCCACAGCGCGCGGATCCCCCACCGCCGACACGGCCTCTGGCCACGGTGGTCAAAGAGCGGCCACGGATGGTCGGTCAGCGTCGACGCGGTGGCTGCGAGGCGGAGAGCTGTCCGTGTGCCCCTGCTGGACCAGCCTGCTGTGGACCTCTAGGACGGACATCGGGTACGCGTTGCCTGGGAAGGGGGCGCCGAAGGCGGTGACGATCCAGCCGAGCATGGCCAGCACGCGGGTGCGGCCGTGCTGCAGTTCGGCCCGGCGAGCTCAGCACACCAGGAGCGCATGGAATGAGGGTAAGGAGTTGGGGCACGGAAGAGGAGGAAGACAGAATGGGACGCACAGAGACATACTAATACTATAGATCCTCCTTGGAGGCGCGCGTCCGACCCGAACATGTAGTATACCCATCTTGTAGTGCATCGTTTCCCGAGCGGTGTGGCCAGAAAGCGCCCACCGCGACGCATATACTATGAGATGTCTCGGTGCGCGCGACGCCCCTGGGGGGGCGACAAACACATAGTGCTTAGTATGTTGGGGTGACGCCGACAGAAGGTGTCCTGGTTTCTGGGTCAACAGACCTGCCTCAGGGAAAATTTGGGGTCTGATTTTCTCGAACGGGTCAGCTTTGCACCCGACCTGTGAGTGTGAGAGAAGAGCGGGCTGGAGCCTCGCGGAAGTCAGTGACCTCGGAGGTGTTGTCTGTGCGGCCTTTGGCCCCGTTCCCAAGGATTTTGCTCCGCGCCAGCAGGCGCGAGATGGGGAGGACTTCGCATACAAGATGGCGGCTGAGCTTGGTGATCCGTTTTCCGATTTTGGAATGTGCACTAATTGTTCTGGGACTCTTGGGCGCGTCTGGGATAGAGTCAAGAGTTGCTCGTCCAAAATCCCAGAGCCCACATTTGGAGCAAGGTTTGGCACGTTGTTGAGGACGGCTTGATGGCTAGAAAAATAAGTTAAAGGCCATGCAACGGCGGCCGATGTCCTCAATCGGCCGATGTCCTCACTGGTGTGTAGCGATCTGGAGCGTCTTGGCAACACGCACGCAGACCACTTCGTTAAGACTGCATGCGCACCCTCTGCCCAAACTCGAGGTTCAGGCGCTGGAGGCGATACGAACGTTACAGCAAGATATCGTTCGTTGGGGTGCCATCCAAGATGTGATCATGGCCAACAGAGATTGGGCGGACTCGTCTGGTTTCTGCTTGCATGTGCAGGCACGAGACACGGAAACTGATCCGCCCAAGAGAGTGCTTGCTCTCAGCCAGGCTCGGAACATTGACAGAGAAGGGCTTGCACTGTGGAAGCCGAGAGTCGATTTGAAGGTGTCCTTACTTCTGATACTTCGGAAGCTATTCCAGGGAATGCTGAACAGCTCACGGAGCTCACCCCCCTGACCCACCTCCAAGGTCACAACCTGTGCAAGGCAGAAGCTGTTGTCAATGACGGGAGTCGGGCCGGGGGGAGTGGGCGGGCGGTGTCGTGCTTGACATACGGAGGTTATGCCTGGTCTGGTGCTGCCTTTCTCGCGTCTCAGTTTATGGTGTTCCCGTCCTGCTTAAGGACCGCATCCCAGAAATAATTTCGAGACCCCAAAAAAGTGTCAACACAGTGACGAAACAGTGTCGAAACAGTGTCGGGCGAGTGTCTCCCAGGGCCCGGCACGTGAAAACCCTTGAGGGTCGGTACCTTTTGGGGCGCTCGAAACTCTTCTTGGCGATCAAGACTTAAGTAGATTGGAGCATCATAAGTCTCAGTGTCAATGCCGCCCCCCGATCAAGGACCCTCGACAGCAGAGGTCGAGGCTCGCGAAGGGGAGCCTCCCCCGCTGGGCTCGGCAATACAGGGGGTGGACGGTCTCATTGAAGAGGCCCTGGGACACACAAATAAATACACGGTCTCATTGAAAAGGACTCACGGTCTCATTGAATGTTTTCCAATGTCTTCTGGGCTTCTGTCTTTCCCGCCCAATTCCCATAGTTTCCCATATTTTCTTGGGAATCGACGATTACTTGTGTCTGTGTGTTTTTGTTCCCTCCTGAATATTGTGGCCCTCATCCGTGCGTCGCACAAAGAAGGTCCAGATATCAGGGGGATCCGAGCCCGACGAAGCTCCTGGATGTGCGGCTGGCCTGTGGGAGGAGAGATGGGACCCTGCTCAGCTCCTCTCGAGGTGTGGCTTGAGGTTGCCAGCTCGGGCTGATCAAGGCATCGTTGCGTGAACTTGTCTGTTGTTTGGGGCGGGTGACATCGACACCTGCTTCCGCAGTGAACTGAACTGGACTGAGGAAGAAAGAAGGAGGATGCCAACGTGGAAGGAGGAGAGAGGGGGAAGAATGATGAGGAGCGGAAACCGATCGACCTCGAAGGCCGAAGGAGGCTTGACCGATGCTCCGATGAGGAGCCTGCACCCGAGCAAGAGCCCGAGAGCTCTGGCAGGGCCCCCGCATCTCAGGCAGGGGACAGCGACATTCCCCCCCGCCCCCCCCCCCGTGCGGACCTCTCGGGCCCGAGATGCGAGGACGGCAAGCGACCACAACCACGTCGAGGACACGCCCTCGGGGACGTCTTGCGCATGTCCTTATTCGTCAGAACACCGAAAAACCAGCCGCGAACTGGCTGTGGTCGACATTAGGCGTCCAGGACGACCAAATCGACCACAACCCACAAGCAAAGCGTTCGCGTCGAGGTCGGTTGGTTCTCTCCCGAGGGGCCCTCCAGAAAAACCAGTCGGTTCTGGCTGTGGGTCTGTGTTGTGCCTAGACAGCAAGAGTCGAGTAGACGTGGAGGCTGAGCTGGGGTCTTCGAGGCTGGGGCTTCAATCTGAAAGGGCCTTCGCTGTTTTTTGGGCGGGCGCGCTGCCACCGGTCAGCGCTGACCCGAAACCGCCAGGACCCTGTGGCAGACCGGGGCCAGCCACGAGATAGAACCCAGGCACAGGTCAGCGGAGCGAGGAGCTCCTATGCGCAACAAGATTCCAGGCCTCCGAAACTATCGCCAAGAACTCCGCAGAACACGCGGGAGGTGGAGGGGGAGGAGGAGGGGGAAGGGGAGGAGGAGGAGGAGGAGGAGGAGGAGGAGGAGGAAGAGGAGGAGGAATCAAGGAATAGGAGGTGGACGGAGGCAGAAAGGGGGAGGTGGAGGGAATGGGGAGGAGGAGGAGGAGGAGGAGGAGGAGAAGGAGGAGGAGGAGGAGGAGGAGGAAGAGCAAGAGGGGGAGGAGACCCCCGCAGAGACCCCCGCAAGTCACGCCGTCACCTGCACCCGTGCTGCCAGGACTTGGGGCACGAATACGATGGGTATCCGGCGGCCTCCACGGATCCCTGGACTTAACCCTGGACCCTCCTGAGGCACCCGGAGGCCGCAAGGGGGCCAACAACGCAAACGGGCAAACAACACCTAAAACCGCATCGATCTCCTCCTGCCCGTAGCTAGAAACCGAACATGTACAAGAGTCAACCTCCGTCCTACTCCCTCCCCTCGCCTGCTCTGACTGTGTTCCACGGGAGGGGAAGGGGGGAGGGGGAGGACTGAGTTTAATCTGCGTGGTTGTCCTCCTCCGAACGAGCTCTGCTCATAGGCACCCCAATTTCCCAAGCTCTCGGATGTTGGAGCGTCCGCCTCAACCCCCAAACCGGCTCCAACCTGGGGCATCGCTTCCATAGGCGGTGGATGTGTAGACAGTCCGCCCTCGGAGCGAGCCGTCGACATCGACCGCTGCCGCGGGCGGAGCCCCGGGCCCCCCTCTGCCGGCACCTGCAGGCGCTGGAGCTCCGACTCGAGCTTGTCCCACTGCCTCGGGGCGCCCTCCTCCTCCTCCTCCTCCTCCTCCTCCTCCTCCTCCTTCTCCTCCTCCTCCTTCTCCTCCTCACAGTCAACACACACGCTAAGGATGCGAAGGCCTTGGGAGGCCATGTCGACGCTCTGCGAGCTGGGCGCGGCGAGCGAGTGGCCACGGATGGGCCGAAGGGGCAAGGATGCAAGGGTGCCCTTGGGAAGGTTGCCCATCCTTACTATGCGGGTCGGCTGTACAGTCATCGTGCTACCACAAGGAACGTCGAATCAGAAGAGACGAGACCTTTCTGGCCTCGGCGAGCCTCGACTTCGAACAGGTTCCCCGACCCCGATCTGCTTCTGCCCCTTATCCAGAGGCACAGAAACGGCAGAGAAGCATGTAAACTTTCAGAGGTGAGCCCGAATTTCTTGGATCTGCGCTGGACCCCCCTCCCTGGCGCGCGGAGCGCGCCAGGGGCGGCACTGAAGGCGCCGCCAGCGGGGCCCAACGCTGATCCAAGACATCCGCGCGGAAATCTCAGAACTTATGGTTGTGCAATTGCTTGCTCGTCGGCTCCTGCCCTCCAACGCCTTACCCTCCTGCTCTAGCGCCCGGGAGCAGAGACGGCTGTGCGGGCGCCGATGGGAGCAGGAGTTGTCTCGAGTACCCGCAGCGTCTCGGTGAGACGCCATTGCCTGGCCTGTAAGTCTGCGCGTGACCTCCACCCCCCTGACCTCCCATCCCCCGCTCATCCCCCCCCCCTCCCCTTCGACGTCGTGATTTTGCCCACGTCGTGGACCTCTGGGGGTCAGGACCTTTTCCCCCGGGACGGGCTACTCGTCCTGGATGGGCTGGTCGTGGCAGTCCCGTGCCGGCCCGGGGGCTGGTGAGAGGCCCCAGAGGCAGAAAAAATGGTGCAAAAGAAAAACCTTCCGCGCCGCAAGTTCTCTGCCACGGCGAGGCGAGGTCGGGGCCTCTCGCATGTCCTTCCCGTCCTTCGGCGGCAACTCCTGGGAGCTTCCCATACCATCTCGGCGGCTGTGCGGATCGACGCTCATCGACGCTGAATCGACGCTCAATCGACGCTAACCAATGCTAAAGCCCACGCTCATCGACGCTAAATCGACGCAAATCGACGCTAATCAACGCTAAATCGGCGCTAAGCGAGGCTACATCGGCGCTGTCTCATCGACTCCCAAACGCGAATCGACGCTAGAAACGGAATCAAGAAGTATACCAGGCTTCCATGATTCGCTACCGAACCATCCCATCCTTCCCCTTCCCTGGGCAATATCCTGCCCCGCCTTCCGAGCCGCGTCCATCATTCCTAGGGTGGCGTATATGCTCCTCTTGTTCACCACCCGTCTCCACTCGGGCCCCTCCAAACACTGCCGCGCCCTTGGTGCCACATGGGGCACGGTTCCACACATCGACTCCTGCTCGAGGCGCCTGGCCCCGTTGACGCGTGGCCCTTGGCAACTGCTGGCGAGAATTACCCTGGCGCAGGTCCCAGCCACACACAAGTGTGAGTACACCCTGCGAAATGCTTAAGAAATCATGGGTTAAGAAATTCATAGTCTCAGAACTTGAATAAAAACCCAAAATGTCTATTCAAAATCTTAGGAGTTACATTGAAACATTAAGAATAATTGAGACTCTGGCCGAAAATTTAAGTTTTCTTAAGCATCGCCCAAGGTGTACCGCAGCTGTGAGTGTTGTCTTCGGTTGGTTTCCCCATGGGGCCACGAGACGCGCGAGGGGCAGGCCGAATTTGGGGGAGGAGAGGGGTGCCGCACGCGGACCACGCCATTGGACTCCTCCTCCCCCTCCTCCTCCTCCCCTCCCCTCCTCCTCCTCCTCCTCCTCCTCCTCCTCCTCCTCCAGCTCGCATGAGCTCCCTATGGGGGCCGCGAAGCGCGCGAGGGGAATGCCGAAACGGGGGGCAACCCATGCGAGCTGTGCCACTGCGGGCTCCCTTTTTTTTTCCTGCGCACTCCCCCTGGCATTATCCTCCGTGCAGTTCCCAGTGCAAGCATCTGAGTAGACAACAAAGTGTGGCTCTTTGCGGCGCCCTGCTGGCCGAAGAGCCCCCCCCACCGTCAACCTGCAGCGCCGGGCTCCCTTCTGGACCATGGAACGCGCGAGGAGTGCACCGAAACGGGCGTGACGCCCACATGCGAACGTCATCATTGGAGCCTTACGTGGAGCTCCCCTTGGGGCCACGAAGCGCGTGAGGGGTGTGCCGAAACGCGCGTGACGCCCACATGCGAACGTCGCCACTGGGGCCTTAGATGGAGCTCCACATGGGGCCACGAAACGCCTGAAGGGTGTGCCGAAACGGGCGTGACGCCCAAATGCGAATGTCGCCACGTGGGCTTTAGGTGGTGATCCCCATGGGGTGTGCCGAAATAGCTGACATGCGGATGGCAGAGGTAGGGATGAGAGGAGGGAGGAGGGGGAGGTGGGCGGGACGAGGTGAGAAGCGTGGCGCTGACTCTTCAAAACGAGGACCCAACACCACAGGATGGTTGGGAATAAGACGAGGGCGCGGTTGCTGGCGGGAGCCAGCTACAAATGAAGCTTGCGCCCCGGAAGAGGGGTCAGCCAACGCCGGCGTGGCCGAGGGCTTCCAGAGCTGGTCACACAAACTCGGTCTGGAAGCCGGACACCTGTTGCGTGCCCAGACCTCGGACGACTCGATTCTTCCGAGTCGACGGCCCGCGGAGCTCTCGACCTACAGCCGGCCCGTATCGTAAGGATGCGCGATAAGGATGCCAGGGCCTCGGAAGGCCACTTCGAAGTTTTCCGAGCGGGGCGCGGCCAACGAAAGAGGCCAAGGACGGGCCGAGGAGGTAAGGATGCAATACTATGCGGGTTGACTATATTCCCAGAACCAATGTACTCCCAGAGCTAATGTTTCATGCCGAGCTGGCTTTTTGCAGGCCCCGGACCACGGAACTGGGCCGCCAAAAATGCGGAAATCTCTGCACAACCTATTCCGCAGTGGACTTTTGTTCGAGCCCGGAGAGGTATGTGGGTCCCAAAGAACGCCTCTGGGAGCCTCGCTTGAAGAGGAGGCGTGGGGCATACGCAGTAAGGAGGGCGAGGAACGGGGGATGGGAGGTGGAGGAGGAGGAGAAAAAAAAAGCCGAGAAGGAGGTGGCGGAGGATTGCAGAAGAGATAGGAGGAGGAGAAGGAGGAGGACGAGGAGGAGGCGGAGGAGGAGGAAGAGGGGGAAGCTGAGGAGGAGGAGGAGGAGGAGGAGGAGGAGGCTGAGGATTGAAGAAGAGACAGGAGGAGGAGGAGGAGGAGGAGCGCAGGAGGGTAGGAGGAAGAGAGGGGAAAAGGCAACAACTGCAGAGAAGAGAACGAGGGTAGGAAATGAGCAAGAAGAAGAAGGGGAGGAGACGACGGCAGCGGACCGATCGACCCCCGTCGCGGTCCCTGGAGGCCTCCCTCGGGAAGTTGATGGAGACCTACGGAGGCCCCTGGCGGCACCAGGCCAAAAACTTGTAAATTCGAGACGACGACGACGACGACGACGACGACGACGACGACGACGACGACGACGACGACAACGCCAGCGCACACGACGCCAACGCCGACGCCGACGCCGACGACGCCGACGCCGACAACGACGTCGACGACGACAACGACGACCGCGACGACGACAACGATAACAACGACAACAACGAGCCACCGACGACGACGCCGACGCCGATGACGCCGCCGACGCCGCCACCGCCGCCCACGACGCCAACGACGCCGACGACGACGCCGACGACGACGACGACGACGACGACGACGACGACGACGACGACGACGACGACGACGACGACGACGGCGGCGGCGGCGGCGGCGGCGGCGGCGGCGGCGGCGGCGGCGACAGTCGGCGGCGGCGGCGGCGGCGGCGGCGACGGCGGACCAGCCACGCGCGCAGCCGAGCCCGCCGCCCGGACCAGAAGCGGCGGTCCTCCGCCTCTACCTGCGAGGTCGTCGGCGTCGGCGTCGGCGTCGGCAGCGTCGTTGTCGTCTGCGTGGTCTCGTCGTCGACGTCGTAGACGTCGTCGCCGGCGTAGGATCGAAGGCTTGCTTGCTCGCCGCTTGTGCGGCCTCTCTGCAGGCCTCTACGGACCCTCCGAGGCCCGCGGGGTCGGTCGGTCGGTCGGTCGGTCGCCATCGCCGACGTCGTCGACGTTTTGGTCGTTGTCGCCGCTGCTGGGGCCGCCACACGGACCAGAGGCGGCAGTCCTCGGAGGAGGTCGCTCGGTCGGTCGGTCGTGCTCGCCGCGAGGCTCAGGGGATCGAGGCTCCCCCTCCGCCCTGGCAGATCGCGTCCCGGGGCGTCCTCGTCGCCACGGATGCGTCCGGGTGGGTCAGGGGGTCGGTCGGTCGTCAGGCGTGCTCGTCTCGAGCGAGCGGCTGCCTTCCGAGCAGCAGGGCGGCGCCTTCGGAGCCCGAGGCCCAAGGCCCAGCGCAGCTGGCCAACGGTGGAGCGCACGGGAAAGGCACATCACGCCAACCGAGACCGGCGAGACCGAGGGGCAAGGATGGAAGATGGGGGGGGAGGGGGGGAGGAGGACGGCGACGAGCACAAACTAGCACAGGGACGAGAGGACGATCGAGGGTCGAGGATCCAGGCTTGGAGGTGCTCGTGTTCACCTGCTGTAAGCCTCCAGGGGCCTCCATGGACGGCGGGGAGGGGTCGGTAGGTCGGTCGGTCGTCGTCGCCGTTGCGCCATCATGGCCTTGGATCGGGCGCCGCCCGCCAAGGAAGCGAGGTGCGTCCCCACCGCTCATCGCCGCTGTCCCAGACCCACAACGTCGTGATTTGTACAGGACATGGCGTGCCCCTCAGAAGTCTGGCCCCCTTCCCGGGGACCGGTCTTTCATCCTGAGTCGTTCTGTTTGACGCCCCCGAGGCCCGGGAAGGGCCCCGGGAGGCCGGCAGTAGCGAAAAACCTGCCGTCGAGACTTGTGCTCACAGCGCGAGGGGGTCTGGGATCGCCGCTGTCGGGAAGCGAGGATCCGGGAGGAGGGGTCCAGGATCGGGGGCGGAGTGCTCTGGGCGCCCCTGGGCCTCCCTGGCCCCGCCGGGGGCCACGAGGCGCCCCCGCCGCCGAGGAGCAGGAGCAGGAGGAGGGGGAGGAGGAGGAGGAGGGAGGAGAGGAGGAGGGAGGAGGAGGCGGAGGAGGAGGAGGAGGAGGAGGAGGAGGAGTAGGAGGAGGAGGAGGAGGAGGAGGAGGAGGAGGAGGAGGAGCTCAGCACGCGCCCCAGGACAGGTCCCAGGGTCGCCGTCGTCGCCCTCGCGGACCTTCGGGGGCCCCCAGAGCCCGAGACCGAGGAGGAGACGCCAGGCTTCCTCAAAGTCATGACGTCGGAGTTTGGGGGGTCCTTTTCCT